GCCTGGACCAGAGTGGTGGTGGAAGTGACAAGGAGAGGAGGACTGCATAGAGTTTGATGACAGAGCCCACAGGGTTTCCTGACAGGTTAGATGTGAAGTGTGAGGGGAAGAGAGGAGCCGAGGATTGGTCTGAGGTTTTGGCCCAAACACTTGGAAGGATGGAGTTGCCATCAACTGAGACAGGAGGACTTTGAGAGGGTTGGAAGACCAGGAGCTTAATTTTGCACATGCTGAGTTTGAGATGCCTGAGGACATCCAGTGGAGAGGTCGAGTCAGCAGTCAGATCAGCGAGTCTGGACTTTGGGGGAAGAGGACGGGGCAGGTGAATATGGGCGTTATCAGGGAATGTACAAGTGGTGCTCTTGAGCCCAAGGACATGAGTGCAGATGGACAAGGGAAGAGCGTTGAGGACTGAGCCAGTGCTGGAACCAGCAGAGAGGAAAGGATACTGAGAGGGCACTCTCCCCTCCCCATCACTGCAAGGTCCTGCAGTGAACCTGCCCTGACACTGGGGGTGCTCTGGATTCCCTGCCTGTGAAATGGAAATCATAATAAAGTAGATTTAGAAAATTAAACAATATATGAAAACAGGCACTTTTCCAATTTTCTGCAGATACCAACTGGGTGTCCTATAATTCAACTCAATTCTGAGGCTATCTACCTAGAGTTAGCGTCAAATCTCACAGGTTAAGGGCTCAGTCCTACAAGACTGCCTGCACTTCAGATGCCAATCCAAAGTCTGGGTCTCCAGTACTTCTGACTGACCAGCTATAAATCAGGGGTCCCCACACCACCTCTTTGTGTTTGATAATTTGCTAGAATGGCTCACAGAACTCAGGAAGACAGTTTACTTACTAAATTACTGGTTTGTTGTAAAAGGATACAATTCAGGAACAGCCAGGTGGAAGAGATGCCTAGGACAAGGTATGAGGGAGGGGTGCGCAGCCTCCGTCTCCTCTCTGGGTGTGTACTTCTTCCAGCACCTCCCTGTGTTCACCAACCCAGGAGCTCTCCCAACCCCATCCTTTTGGGTTTTTATGGAGGCTTCATTATGTAGGCCTGATTGATTAAATCATTGGTCATTGGTGATTAAGTCAACCTACAGAAGGAGATCATGATGGGGGTAGTGGGACTGAAAGTGTCAACCCTTTCATCACATGGTCAGTTCCCCTGGCAACCAGCCCACCATCCTTGGGGACTTGTCAAAAGTCACCTCATTATCATAAATTCAAGTGTGGTTGAAAAGGCTTTGGTATGAACAAATTTATACCACTTTACCTTTATTGCACCAGAGCTATTTGAGGAACTGGGGACAAGAAATCCAAATATTATAAAAGATACTCTTATCACTTAGAAATTTACAAGGTGTATTAGTCCATTTGTATTGCTTATAACAGAATGCACGGAACTTGTTGATTTATAAAGAAAACAAAATTTATTGCTTATAGTTTCTGAGGCTGGGAAGTACAAAGTCCATCTGGTGGTG